CTCTCTCTCTCTCTCTCTCTCTCTCTCTCTCTCTCTCTCTCTCTCTCTCTCTCTCTCTCTCTCCCCTCCTCTCTCTCTCTCTCCCCTACCCCCCCCCTCTCTCTCTGTCTGGTCTATCTTCAGCTTCTTCTCTCTCTCTCTCTTTTTCGCCCCCGCCTCCCGGTGCGTTCTTTTCCCTCCACCGTCGAACGGAGGACTCTCTTGTCTCTTCCCTCACGGAAGGCGGCAATGCCTTCCCCCCTCCCTACTACGATCGCGCGAACGTCAGTGCGGCGGAATTTTAATTGGCTCTTTAATGCGATTTCAATGCCGCGTGAAAGAAATAATAGCGTTTAGATTGTATGTCCAACCATTATAATCTTAACGCGCCAGTCTTTTCCGAAAAAATATCGTTTCCTCTCCTTCCTGCACTTGCGGTTATGACTCACAAGACATCAACCATATTGTCTTCGACTGCCCCGACAACAGAAATAAAAGCTCCTTCCTATTAAATTATATTAAACATCAATATCCTACCTCCCCTAACGACTTACACAACATTATGAGACATCCTACCGCAAAACTATGTCGTTTAACTCTTGCTCTCATCAAATCCTCCAACCTCCACATTTAAATTTCCCGCTTCGCTATTTGGCGTTTCTGCGCCATTTGCTGCATCTCCGCTCCGCACGACTATTGGTTAGACGTGGCCGTATTGGATCCGGACTGGAGCCAGGAGCCACAAACTCATCAATAAGACAATAAGATAGTGACATGAGTGACATAGTCAACATGGTCAACATAGTGGCGGTGAAAATTGCTAGTTTCTCCTAGAGATTGATCCTTGACGTAGCGATTGACGTACGACGGGAGCGGGTCACCCAGGATCGAGGCAATTGATCCAATGTAACTTTTTCGTTTCTCGCACAAGGTTATTCTTGCACTTGTCACCTTGCACAGGTTTTTATCCTTTCTCGTCGACGACGACTGACGACGACGACGGTGAAAAGTCGTCGGAACCTGTTGACACTGTTGACAGCGTCGAGTGTACACACGAGTAATTTTGTAGAAAATGAGCTCGCACCATCATCTCAATTCGTCGTCTGGCGAAATCAATCACATTCACGTTCTCTCCGAGGACATGGGATCGGTTTATCTCTCGGAGGAATACGCCGACGTGACTATAGTAGTGGCGGGTCAAAAGTTCCGTAGCCACAAGCTTATTCTCGCGGCGCGTAGCGAGTACTTTCGGGCATTGTTGTTCGGCGGCATGAAGGAATCGATGCAAAGCGAAATCGAGTTGAACGCCTCCTCCTTACCCGCGTTCAAAGGCTTGCTCAAGTACATCTATACCGGACGCATGTCGCTTACTAACGAGCGGGATGAGGTAATTACTACATGGTCGCGTTATCGCCTTATCGCCTTATCGCCTATCCTTCCATCTCGACTCGCACTTGTTACAGGTCATCCTCGATATTCTCGCGTTAGCGCATTTATATGGATTCATGGACTTGGAGGCAGCTATATCCGACTATCTCAGAGAGATATTGAGCATAAAGAATGTATGCTCGATTCTCGATACCGCCTTCCTCTACCACATGGAGTTCCTAACTAACGTTAGTATCGTCCTGTTACCGCTCTGGTCTTACTACTTTCCTTCAATATTCAATATTCAATCAGGTTTGCTTCGAGTACATGGACATACACGCGTCCGAAGTTATACAACACGAGAGTTTCCAACAGCTCAGCTCGTCCGCTCTAACCGAATTGATTTCCAGAGATTCCTTCTGTGCACCGGAGACCGACATTTTTTCAGGTGTACGATCCTGGGTCAATTCCAATCCCGATGTCGATCCAACCCAAGTGCTAGGTAATGACCGTTTCTTCGCCACTCTACTCGTAAAACTCTAACGACTATGCTCTCGCTACAGATCAACTGAGATTGAGTTTGATTCCGTTGTCGGATCTCCTCAGCACCGTTAGATCATCTCAGTTGGTGCCGGCGGACGCGCTCTTGGACGCGATCGACGTACAGACGCATACGCCCGACTCCAAGCTTCCCTATCGTGGCCATTTGCTCATCAACGAGAACGTTGCCCTTTCGTCGCACGGTGCTCAAGTGTTGCAAGGAGAAATGCGTAGCTTCCTACTTAACGGCGACACGCACAACTACGATATGGAACGCGGTTACACCAGGCATACTATATCTGACTCGGAAGAACATGGGATTCTTATTAAATTAGGATCGCAGTATATTATCAATCATATCAAAATGTTGCTATGGGATCTAGACTTGCGATCCTACTCTTATTATATAGAGGTATCATATTTTATCTTTTACACCTCTATTACTTAATACTTACATTACTTAATACTCTTAAAATTTTCTATTCAAGGGATCTATGAATCAAAAGGACTGGGTCATGCTTGTCAATCACAAACATTATTCCTGTCGCAGTTGGCAGTATTTATATTTTGAGCCTAGAGTAGTGCTGTACATTCGTATCGTAGGGACAAATAATACAGTGAATAAAGTCAGTTTTCCACACTCTCTACAATCGAGATGTCTAACAATTTCAGCTCATCTTGCTCATTTCCCACAGGTTTTCCATGTTGTCAATTTTGAAGCATACTACACGAATCATACAGAGAAACTTTCACAAGGCTTCATTGTACCGACGAAAAACATTGCTACCACCGAGCGAAGCGCATGCGTTATCGAAGGTGTGAGTAGGTGAGCGCAATTTAACGTCTACTTGCTCGATACCTTTATATTCATTATTCCTCATTATATATTTATTATTCCTCATTAGGTCGCGTAATAATTTATTGAACGGAGATACATCCACTTACGATTGGGACAGCGGTTACACGTGCCATCAACTCGGCTCTGGATCTATTCTGGTACAATTGGGCCAGCCATACATGATAGAGTCTATGCGGTACACAATTCTTACTTGTCAAATCACATACCTAACTGCCTTAACATGTTACATCTCCAACTGCCTTTTTTTACCTCTAGGTTACTACTTTGGGACTGCGACAACCGCTCCTACTCGTATTACATAGAAGTATCGGGCAATGCCTGGAGTTGGATATTGGTCGCTGATAAAACCAAGGAAGCCTGTCGGTCTTGGCAGACGATACACTTTAATCCGCCCCGTCCAGTAGTTTTTATCAAAATAGTCGGCACTCACAATACTGCAAATGAGGTTTTTATTACTGTTGTAAACAATTTCTCGAAAATGGCGAATAGATGAGTGATTCGTCTTTACGGCTGTTTACAGGTCTTTCACTGTGTTCACTTTGAATGTCCGGCGCCAGTAGATGACAAATTTTCCAAATCGCCCACGCAAGAGGGACACACGTCACTCGACGCTATTAATTCCTCGCCCGCTCCACCTCCTCCCCCGCCCGAGATAGCTACGGAAGCAGTTCATATCGATAGCGATGAATCGTAACTAAACTTGTTTTGCCAACTAGATGAATTTGACCGATTCGTCGTCAAGTGACCTCGATGCAACCTTTAAGACTGTTCAATAATAATTCAATATGATATTGTAATTTGTCCTCTTGTTTTCTCGTTTACGAATCTTATTCTTATTATGCCGATTACTTTAAGGTGTAACATTTCAACTAAGATGCAGCAGCTGTCAATTTTTAACAGCAATTGGCTCGCTTTCTCATTTTTAGCATTTCTTTTCCACTTCACATATATATAAAAAGTGTTATTTTTCTACGTGATTTTGTACTTAAATCTAAAAGCGTATCGTTATTCAACACGATCCTCTCCATCATGATACCATCACATATAGTTGCTTTCTTGCTCTTTGAATGTTGTTTCTACCATCGTAAATTATATTAATATATTTTACATTGTATAATATTAAATAATGAGTAGTCTTGGATACTTTTTCTCTGTCGATATCTTCTCTAACACGATGACAATTGGTCGTGACGAAAGGTGATAATAAATTGGCAGCTGCCGTAAGTTGTTTATATAGAAGCTATCTTCCAGTTTTTTTCTATGTTACCAAGTATTTTCTAAGCGCGCGATTACCTATAATACGATATAAATACTCGTGTTACTATAACGGTGTCTGGTTTTACAGTATTTCTCATCGTACAAATATATAAATTTTCATTGCGGATCTTTAATGTGTACACAAGCGTAATTAATTATTTTTCTAGTCTACGTAACATTGCGATGTAGCGTATATCTATCTTTAAATGTTTAAATTATACGAGAACTTGAGTTGCGAGCATCAATAAAATATTTTCGATGAATGAAATATTTGAAAAGGCGTCGAGCATTATTTCATTCGACTGTTTTCTCCTGCTTTTGTGCACAGGCTTAAAAGTCCCGCGGGCGCGGGCGGAAGTTGTGCGCGCGCATGCGGCAATGGCGAGATGGGCGAGAGAGCGGTGAGAGCCGCTAGAGGTGGTGAGGTGAGACGGTGATAACGGACGCCATTTTGTTGGCTCGTTGCATCGCAAACGGCAAACAGGCGAGACAAGGCGTGCAGCGGAGAACTTGTCGCTCCGCCGGGAGAAAAAGGCAGTTTTCTAGCAAAGTCTTGGGACATACTTTGTCCTTGCTCTTCTCTTCTCCTCCTCCTCTTCCTCCTCCCTCCTCTTTCACCCCCTACCCCGTTCCGTGTGTCTTTCTTTTCTCTTGGTCCTCGTCGAGCTGCGGTGCAAGCAGCAAGCAGCGTTGATGATTGGGATTCCGCGGGACGATCGACACAAAATCACGGTCAAGATCCGCAACAACATGAAGAGGAGCTCGAGTCGCGACACGCCGCCTCCCCGTGTCAAGCGGAGCCGATCTTCCATGGGACGGTAAGATCTCTTTTTTTTTTTCCCCCGCTTTCGTCTCGATAGTACAACTTTGACGTGCTTGTAGATACGATGACTCGAGCGACGAGCGTATCAGTCCGGAGAGGATTCGACGGCGAAGTCGGGGTGCCAGGAGTCCGAGTCCGCCGACGAGGGCGTCGTCTCACGCTCGGTACGTCGAGTCGAGCTCGCATCGCGACGAGTATCTACGGCCGTCGCGCGAGGTGCCGCGAGAGCGAGCCTACAGCTACAAGGTGCTCTGCGTCAGCGCCATCCATCCCAAGGCCAACGACGAGGTCATCAAGGACACTCTGTACAGGGAGTACAAAAAGTTTGGCGAGTTCTCCATTCAGATATCGCACGAGCCGGACGAGCGCGTGGCGTACGTGTGCTTCCGTAGCTCGGAGGACGCCCGGGACGCCAAGCACGCCAAGCCGCGCATCATCATGTACGACAAGATGGCCCTGGTGGAGCCGGTGTACGATCGAGCCGAGAGCTACCGCCGGCCGCGCTCCATCACGCCGCCCGATTACGAGCGCTACTACACCCGCTCGCCAGGCCCTACCGACCGGCACCGGCCGCTCGAGAGATACGAGCGTGTGTACGGGCCGCCGGTCGGTCTGCCGCCTCACCGCGAGATGCGCCGCGAGACCATCCCGCCGCCGCATCACGAGTTCGTCCGGCCGCCCATACATCCCCACGGCCCGCCCCACGTTCACCCCGGCCCGCCGCATCACTACGGCCCCCCGAGACACATGATGATGCGCCATCCGGTCCACGGTTTCGAACGAGTGGAGAACAAGAAGGACAAGTTTCCCAATTATCTGCACCACGTGTCGCCGGAGGACGACCCTCTCGCTACCAGAACCCTCTTCGCTGGCAATCTCGAGATCAACATCACCGAGGAGGAGCTGCGCCGAATCTTCAGCAAGTACGGCATCGTCGACGACATCGACATTAAGCGTCCGCCGCCCGGCACCGGCAACGCCTACGCCTTTGTGCGCTTCCAGACCCTGGACATGGCTCATCGGTGTAAGGTCGAGCTGTCGGGCCAGTACATCGGCAAGTTTCAGTGCAAGATCGGCTACGGTAAGGCCACCCCGACCACACGGATATGGGTGGGTGGCCTCGGCCCGTGGACCTCGGTGCCGCAGCTCGAACGGGAGTTTGATCGATTTGGCGCGATCAAGAAGATCGATTACATCAAGGGCGACAGTAATGCCTACATACTGTACGATTCGATCGACGCGGCGCAAGCGGCAGTCAAGGAGATGCGCGGCTTCCCCCTAGGCGGGCCGGACCGTAGACTAAGAGTGGACTTTGCCGACGTGACGCCAGGCTTCGGCTTCAAGCCTAGAACGTATCCCGAGGACAGTAGCGACTTCCGACCACGTCCAGTTGACTACGAATCGCCCTACGATCCTTACGGACCCGATGGTGAATTCGGTTACGGACCGAGGGGCTTCCGTGGTGGTGCCGGCAGCGGCGGAGGCGGCAGTGGCAGCGGCGGGGGTGGCGGCGGAGGTAGCAGTGGCGGTGGCGGCGGCAGTGGTGGTGGTGGTGGCGGCGGCGGTGGTGGCGGCGGTGGCAGTGGTAGTGGTAGCGGCGGCGGCAGAGGCAACGCGCCGTGGCACGACAGACGAGGAAGCGCGCGAGGCGGTTACAGGGGCTCCTACCCCGACGGGTACACGCGCGACGAGGCCGACTGGCCCAGCAGAAGACCACCGCCCGAATTGGAGTACGAGACGCCGCGCGGCCTGAGAAGATCGCTCTCGCGCGAGCCGGGGGTCGACCGATCTCGGTCGCGTTCGCCACGTAGACGACAGATACAGGATTCCGACTCGGACTCGGAGAACGCTCGCACCGGCATGTTGTCGACGTCCCGTACGCTACCAGACGTCGCGCGTAAATCGATCGCGGTTTGGCAAGGCGCGTTGATACTAAAGAATTCCCTCTTTCCAGCCAAATTCCATCTGACCGATGGCGAGACCGAGATAATCGATTCTCTGATGAAGGACGAGGAGGGTAAGCACATGCTGCGCATCACGCAACGTCTGCGCCTTGATCAGCCCAAGCTCGACGATGTTTCGAAACGGATTCAAACGTCGAGTTCGCATGCCATCTTCCTCGGCTTGGCTGGCTCGAGTACCGCCGTCACCAACGACGACGCCAATGTGCAAACGCGACCGCTGCGCAACCTCGTCTCCTATCTCAAGCAAAAAGAAGCCGCTGGTGTCATATCGTTGCTCAACAAGGACACGGAAGGCACTGGCGTGCTGTACGCCTTTCCGCCCTGTGCGTTCTCAACGGAACTTTTGAAACGCACGTGTCCTAGCTTAAGCGAGGAGAGTCTTAAGGAGGACCACTTGGTGATCGTGGTGGTCAAGGGAGGTAGCGCCTAAGAGAATCTTAGTATCGTCTTGTGTGTGTCTCTATTTTCTATATCGTAAGTGCTCCAACGCTTATACGCTACCTTCGATCGTTTGGCGAGCGAGTGTCGAGAGAGTGAGAGAGAGAGAGAGAAAAAGATGGTCGACGATGAGTGAAAAGCGCGACATTTTTACGCGGTCGACAGGTTTTTCTTTCCGTACCACGCAAATGAATAATTACGTTGTTAACGTGGAAATGTCGCGCATCTCGTCTAGTCCATTTTCGAGAAAATGCTATTTCCCGGTCGTACAGTCTCCTAACTGTTAAACAATGTACAGAACTTGTGTTTTTTGATCGACGTAAGTATTTCGTTTTCTACTGGCTTCCAGATAGGAGTTTTAGTCTTACGATTACAGACAAAATCGTAACGATACTTTGATACTTTTTTTTTTATACGAATGTACATGGCATTGCATATATCCTATAATCAGACATGTGATAAGAACTCGTAATGCCCGATTACCGATCTCGATAGCTTTGCTTGAAGTTAGGCAATGTGAGTTTTTATTGTGCATTATTATCAAGACTTGATCCTTGTATAGTTGTTAAACTTAATGATAGACGAGGGTGATTTTGTAATATTACCGAGAGATGTTGTATAGTTATCTTGATTTGTGACATACTTTTCGAGAATCGTGACTATTTCTCCATATGTGCACACCGCGAACCCTACTGCTAAAAGAATACTTATCTTGTATCAAAAAACACAACTTTCCGCTCCCCAGTTGGATTTATCAGGTAGCACCGGTTACCCCAAGTGGTACAAGTTTCCATCAGCAAGATCGTTATCGACTATACCGAATATTATTATGGATGTTATAATCCTCATACCACAAGTGATGCTAAAATTACTTTAAACATTAAGTCTAAGAATTTATTTGTATTATATACATTATCAACTATACGTACGTATTAGTAATAATATTGTGCACAGTTCTTTCACATTTGCAGACTTGCATATTAATGTAATTGATTGTACTTCTTGGCCAATGCAAAATGAATATCTTCTTGAGACGTGTGTGTGTGCGTGTATGCGCACATGAAAATATTCCGCTTCAAAATAATGAAATTGGGAAAAAAATATTCTTTATATAATTGTAGATTTCAAAAATATCGAGTCCTAGACTTTACATGTTTTTACTTGCATAAGCTATAACAGTAGAGTACTTGAAGTAAACTTGTGTTATACCTAACACAACGTTGCATAGCTTTCGATGCTACAACGATACGAGGACACACATACAAGTCGCAAAATATAAATTTTCACAAAATTTTAAATAGCAAAAAATGTGAAAGGCCTGGGTTAGAGTATATTTAATATGGAAAATTTATATAATTAACCATTTTACGACTTATTTCACTAGATTTCTTTTGTGTGGCATAACATTTAAGTGATTGTGCAGTACATAAAATCCGTGAATGTAGTTACAAGTTTCTAAAGTTCGGACTGTGCCCAAGAGTGAAGACAGTGAGGAAAAAAAAACACGAGCATATATCCAGGAAGAGACAGAGATCTGTTTACTGCAATATAGTTTGTCGCATCTGTGTTTTCATAATGCCAACAGAAGTTTAGCCTTTTTTTTCATCCAAAAGACAGTGTTTGGTGGTATTAACATACAAAAAGAGCTCTGAACATGTGTTTAGTGAAATGTAAAGGAAAAGAAAAGTGATTGTGTTCCGTATTTCAGTATGGAGGAGAGCGTGCCCGAACGGTGTCCGAGGGGTATATTTTGATATTCCTTTTAGACATCCGTGGAAGGAGGAAGGGGTAGTATCTCTCTTCCATACTTGAATGCGATTGAAGGTGCAGTGGTTAAGTATATTTAGTGTTTGAACGGAAAAAAAAATAGATGCAGTTTATGTAGAGAGAAAAATTACAAAATGTGTCATTTTCTTGGTACCGTTCTTCACCTATACGATATCAAATAGGAAAATTGTCAGGAATTGTCGGTTAAATGTTATACAGTGATGCGCGATTCCAATGAATGCTCACGAGAAAGTTAATATTGGAAAATCCGAGGAAATTAATATTAAAGAGAAAGGAATAACAGCCTCGCATAGATTAGGGCCAACGAAATCTCGGACGTTGACGTCGAGTCGATGGTTAATGCATGTGACCGAAAGCCCAATTAGAACTGCTTTCAAACTTGACGAGTTTCAAATTCCATTCTTTGCTCTCGTTAAGTGAAGTTTATCGTGCAACAATACGTGGTGCTGTGATATCAATCGTTTAGCAAAGACAACCTAGGTGGGGAAACGATGAAAGACGCGACTACGTAGGTCTTAAGTGTTTGTGCTAGCCAAAAGAGTCATTTTCTCAATTTCTCGCGTGGGAGAGAAGGCTGTCACGTTCATTCCTATGTAATGGGTAAACGGGAAGAGAGAGAGAGAGAGAGAGCCGTTGTGATATCTTGGTGTTTACTGTGGCTTGTGGATTCTCCTGGGGAGAGAAGCAGAGATGAGGTCGCGAGTTTATTTTCAAAATCGCGTCGATTGTCGAAATTATTCGCGCACGGATATATCGGGTAACAGAATTGTGCATCTGCAAGTAGGCGGAAGGGAGAACTGTAATAAGGACTGTAGGGAGAAAGACACAGTGGCGAGACGGGCGAGAGTTCAAAGTGAGTTTTATCAGTGGTTTATTCCCGAAATGCATCGAGTGCTGTGCTGCCGTTCGACCACACTACGAACCTTCGTCGTCCTTTATACAATTCCCGGTCCCTGGTATATCGCTATATATAACCCAAACAAAAAAGAAGAAAAAACATTGTAAAAATCTGTTTCAGAATCCGCCCACGGAACGGAAGGCAGACATTTCGTCTCTCTCTCTTATTGAATCTGTATCCAGATTTGAGTAGAAAAAAAAAAGAAAGCAAAAGGAAAGAATAAATGACAGACCCAACATTATTTCCTCCAGTTTCTCTCACGGGCGTTTCGCACGATTCAGAAATTTCTTGGTTGCTACTTGTAGTTTTATCGTCGTATCGTCGTGCACCGGTACCGAGACAAAGAGAGATAACCTTAATAACCTAATCTAACCTAACAGAGTAGTTTCAGTTTAGAGGTTGGGCGCGAATACGATCATCGACGCGAGCGCATTAAATTCTTTTACAGACGTGTTTTAATCGTAAAGTAGACTCCACGTGTCAAACGTTTTCTTTTGTTAATACAAATTAAAGAGCCGAGGAAGGATAATAAACGGTCGACGGACCAAGGCAGAATATAGAGCGTTTTGTTGAAAGAGAGGAAAACGAGTGAGGTCTTTTCCCCTTTTATACAGAGAATATACAGGTATCTTCTGCGGCTTTCATCCTCCTTTTTCTTTTCTCCCTTGAAGGCTTGAAACAGAGTCGTTCAGGCACCAGCAAGTGCCCAGAGTGCAAGTAGGTGTAGCTTAGACAGATAGAGAGTGCGCAAGGCGTTCCATGATCCATCATGTCCTCCGCGATGAAAACAAATCCGGCCATTTCTATTAACTTGATCGGCGTTCGATTCCATCGTAAATGATCTCGACTGAATTTTATGTCAGACATTTTATTGGACAGTGTATATATATATTTTTTTTTTATTTTTAATTTCCACAACTTTTCATAGACAAAATTAACCGTCGCCGGATCCGTGATTGAGAAACAATCGAAGCTTATAGTTATGAAAGGAAAAGGATCGTTTTCGTCAAGTCTTAATGATAAGAGCGTAATCACGTGGTCGCTATCGGTAACAGGAAGAGACACGGAATGTGTAAATCGGACCATTACGTGGGTGGCTTTTTGTGCGGGGAAAAGAAATCATGTATGCACGTAATGTCGCTGCCTCTTTTCTCTCTTTTTTTACCGCCGTACACTTAAACCTGCTTTGAACATCGATCGTGCGTTGTTGCAAAGATTATTCGAGAGGGATAAAGCTAATTGGTTGATTCCTTTTCGTTTGCGATATTTACCGCTCATCCGACATGCATGTGTGTGTCTGTCCTTTTTTTTGAAATTTTTCTTAACCGCGTCGAACAACGGGTGAATGTTCTCAACAAAATTTTCAACGATTCCCCGCCGTTATCGCGTATTCGGTTGTCTTCGTCCCATTAAAGAAAGATCTTTAATTAGAGAGCAGAATAGACACACACATTCACTCACTCTCTCGAGACAAAATCTGTCTTTCCGACGTGGCTATACGGACACAAATAGAAAGATAACTTGTTTTTAAGTGATTTTACTTTTCGTCCCCTGCTCTAACTCGTAAACATTTGATGAAATTTAAATCCATAGTAATTGAGCGAAAAAGAAAAGCATGAAGAAGATTGAAAATACTATGAGGAATATTGCTCGTCTTTTTCCTTTCGTCAACAATAATAGAATTGCAAAGAACACGCGTGTGCCAACGTTCTTGAAAAGTCTGTATAGAGATCGTCGTAGAAAAAAATGATGGCGCTCGAAATGAAACAAAGCATAACGTGTGACATCGTTAGCCAAGACGTTACGTGTGTGTTTTTGTGTAACGTGTATGTATTTATGTTAATTAATTATATAGGGATTGTTCAGTCTCCTCGGAGTGTTGAATATGGAAGGCCGTGTTTGGTTCGAAGCTAAATCTTACGAGGCTAAACCCCTCCGGCACATTACTCTTCCTCCTTCGAGCGTTTTCCAAAAATACGGACATCGATGATTAAAATACGACAAAGACGACGGTCCGGTCTTGCACTTGCTCGATTAAACGTAAATATATGTGTAACTCTTAACATTTTGCTTTGGTTGATACGATCGCTACAAGTTTCTAGAGATTTCACGGTAACGCTCTAATTGTAATCCGCATAGCGCAGTAAATTTCGGCCCATCCTCTTCATCGCTTTATCTCTCTCGTTCCCAATTCTTCTCAATTCCTACTCGCTCGAATTATCTAGTATAGACGAATAAACCTACATCTAGTCTCATGCTAACTCATAAACAAAACTATATCGCCTCATGTACATATTTGTATTACATATATATATGTGTGTGTGTGTGTGTGTTTTATATCAGTCACAAAGTCGTCGAAATCAAGCCTGAGGATAATTTGATTCGATACTACGATTGTTTAATGATTCAGTCGTAGCGTCATTACGGGCGCGTCGCCCGTATTACACGCAAAGGGAGCTTAAAATTGTAAGACTACCATTAAGCAAGTAACAAGAGCGCGCTGAAGCTTCTTTACATTTTAACCGTTATCGCAGGATCGGATTAAGAGAGCTTGAGCGAAACTTATCGATGAGCTTGCTGTTTCAAGCTGCGCGAGAAATTGTTTCGGATATTGAGTCGTGGACTCTGATATGTTTCTCATGCTGCGAAGGAGTCGTTAGTGTTGATCTTTGTCGTCGCGATAAATATCCTAAACGCGACTTTTTATATTTGTATTCCCGAGGTATTTGGATCCGGATGAAGGAAGGTTAGTTTTCCACGTCCCTTCAGCGCAGCTCTTGCGAACCCGAGAAAACCTTCTCTCTGTGTGTGTGTGTGTGTGTGTGTTTAGAACTCGGATGAATCCGCATCGCCGCCGCATTATTCCGCCTCCTGCGATAGAAAGGGAGGATAGCTGAGGAGGAGCAGGACAACGAGGGCCGATTCCGAAAAATGTCGGCTGCCTATGCGATATCCCTTTCGGTAGAAACTTGTCCAAGGAGAGACTTCTCCTCGCGCGCCTCTAGACAGCCCCCAAGACGTCGCGGATTACTTAGTAGACCATTCGGTGGGGATACTGGTAGCTTCGCGGCTGGGAGCTTAACTGCAGCTGAGCAGCCGAGTACGGATCGTAGCTCTGAAAGTGGCATTGTTTAACAATTGAATTCCTTCTGAGCGCGAAGCACAGCGAGCAAAGCGATCGAGTTAATTTATTGGATTCACCTGCGTTCGCTTCTTGGACACTATAAACCTCTTCTGCGGATAGTACGCGGCGCGTTGAGGATAGAGGAAATCGTACTGCGGATTAACATGATTGCCGTATTGCGCGGCGCCTTCGTACTGCTGATCCAACTGCTTTCCGTACTGTTCGTAGTAGCTGGGCGGGTGGGTCCGGACTATTCCGATGTCGGAGGGCGACAACGTGTCGTAGTGCCGGGCGGGATACACCGGCGTCAGCCACGGGAGAGCTAGAAAGGGATAGAAAAGATAGAAATTACCCTGACGCTAAACAAGTCATCTTTTATGCGAGTCGTCAACACGAACCGTTTCTAACGTCTTCCTCATCGAGAAAATCGCTGTCGTCAATCTCGTACTCCTCGCCAGGGTACTTGCGCCAATTTCTGTTGGTGAGGTCGAGACGTATTATTATTGTTATTAAGCACGCAATGGATAGTGGATAAGAAACGTCATCTCATTACCCGTTTCGCTGCTCGTTTTCCCACAGGGACAAGAGGGTCAACATGTCGTTGGGATTGATGTCCAGAGACAGCTCTCGCTTGTATCGCGGCTCCTGGTAGAACGGCACGCTGAAAATTCAAGTAAAACGTTTCCATCCCTGACATATAGTATGCTCCGATTTCGAGGATGCTCTTTCGAGGACTCGCGCACGAGGGTCGATGCTAAACAGGTGTGCGTTCAGATCGATGTCTCGCAATCTCCTTTTGGAATCGCTTCGTCGATTCATTATTTCCGCTGTTTGCGCGACGCTTATATTTCCAAGATTGATCGCTTATCCGTGACGCAAAGCGAGCGACGCGACGACCATTGCCAACGACTTGTCCCTACGTCGCGCGCTATTGTTCCCCGGCACGAACGGCGCTTTATCTCGCCCTGTCGCAGACCGTCCTTTGTGTGAGCGAGTCTCGCGATAGTTAGACAATCCAGGCTCGTGTACTCGCGATACAACAGCGAATACGGGGACAATACGATCGTGCGAAACGATTGTCGCCTACTTGTCTGTCGTCGATTAACCAAGACAATCGCCCCTCTACAGTTGAATATAAGTTATTGTACGCATTTCTGATACAAGGATCGATAATGATGGAGCTCTGGCAAAGGCTAACGCTGATGAACCGATAGGTTGGCCATGTGCCAAAAACCCGTAGTCGTAGGATAGTTTTTCAGTTTTGCGTTTTTTCGTTTGCCAGGGCTGACCACACGCAGGATCTTACTACTGCGATTCGTGCACATCGCGTTCAAAGTGTAAACAGTAAGGAATTATTATATATAGATGCCCAATCTCGCGAGAGAAAAGCAAGCTTCGAGTTACGCTGCAGAGTAAATGATGAGTAAAAGAGTGGATCTCGAATGTGCACACTTTTATCTCCTCGACGTTAGTTTTTGGAGACATCATTTATATAGGTGTTTCCTCTATCGATCTGCATTCGACGGGACGCCTCCATTCAAGCTTTCGAGGACTGTTGAAACGGGGCTATTGTCTAATACGTCAGCGGAAGGATGGCGGAGGCTCGTCGCAAAATCCGCGGGACGTACTTGTCAGCTGATTGGTCGGAGATGAGCCAGACAATCGAGCTCTGACCTAGTTTCGCTCCCGGCTCCATTCAGCTTTTCGTGGGTCCGCTATCTCTCTCTCTCTCGCTCTCTCTCTCTCCCACCCGCGGATACTCAACCACCACCACCGCCACTACCACCTGCGTCACGCGTATCGAGCGATTCGTGCACTGCACCAAATTCTCCTCCGTGTACGTCCACGTCCGTGAGCCACAATGCCGTATGCACAAACGGACACGTATTCGCCTAAAGTCCTAATCCCTGCGCTCATTCTCCCTCTCTCTCTCTCTCTCTCCGCGAGAATATGCGAGAGAATATGTAATCCGAGACCCGGGTCGTTTATTCGTGAGAACAATAGAGATGTATTTTTGAGATCCCGCGATGAAGCCACACGCCGCAATTTGCCATTTTAATTCCGACTCCAATTTTCTTACCAATTTCGATGAGACTTTTGCTCGCTCGAGAATGATAAAAGAGGAAAAAAAATGAATTGCTCACGTAATCTATGTGAAACTCCACATCCTTGTTGATTGACGTTTAATTTGATTTATTAAAATCATAAACGATCGGATGACGAAATTCCAAGGGGATTTTCCTCGGCTTTGCGCAACATGCCTTCCCTTTGATGGAAATCTATTCAAAGTGCTTCTATTATTATGGCGCTTGCGTCTAAGGATAACGCATTATATAATCGCGTTTACTATAATGGAAACGATTATCGCGTTATAAGAATTTCATCGAGGAAAAATTAATCGTCGTGTCCGAGCAAGTGACCTGTGACATTTGCGACAGTCAGGCGATGCATTCCCATACATTTTTCGTGTAAAAATAACGAGCCGCGATGGCGACGGCTGTTAACTTTGAGACGATAATGTCTACGCGACGGGAGTCCCATGTGTACGAGTTAAATTTTCAACATAGGTCTTAAACAATTCCGTGCGAAGCGCTTTTACGGCTTCGATATCGAGCGCTCGCGTGCTGAGGCGATTTCCTCAAAGTAGATTCGGCTCTCGATAAATCTGCACTCGCAGCGGGAAAGCATATTTTTATCTCGCGCCGTCGCGCTATCGCGAGCCGGACGTTATTAAGGGTCGTAATTGGTTCCGTTTATTTTTGTACGTATTTCATCGGTTGCCTCCACGGCACGAGTCTAAACCTTGGATAATTTTGTTTGGCTAGAGTTTTGCGTAGTACCGGTCGGGAATACATGACCGATGTTGGTCATGTATGTGGTCTCTCGCTTACTTTCTGCAAATGGTTCGATACGACTTTGGTCGTCAGGTCGACCGCCGCCGTCCCTGCGCCGAGGGCAACGCCCTCGCGAGCCCTCTCATCCCCATTGAGAAGAAACGCCGGAGGAAAAGAGGGATGCTTGGTGGGTGGAGAGGGTGGAAAGGGCGGAAAGGGCGCGCACAGTGATGCATGGCCCTTGCCGCGCCAACTCAACGTGCGCAACTCCACCATGTTAAATAACGTTTCGCAATTTTCTTCTCTCTCTCTCTCTCTCTCCCTCTCTCTCTCTCTCCCTCTCTCTCTCTCTCTCTCTCTCTCTCTCTTCACGTTCCTTTCGTTAGGATTTCGTTACCTACCGCAATCTAACAGCGGTTGCCCCCGGGAATATCGATCACGCGGCTTATCGATTTCGGGGAGAATTGGGACAAGTAGGACGCGGCCACTTACCTCCTCTTAACTTGAGCCTGCACCGGTTGCTGGGTAGGCATCGCAAGGCTCGGCAGCCGTTTCGTTTGGAACGAACTCGTCGGAGGCTGCAACGTCGAGCTCGGCCGCGTGCTACCGCTCGACTTTTCCGATCTCTTGCGCCGATCCTCGCCCGCGTAATACCGCGAATACGGCACCGTGTCCCACACTCGCGGTACATCCTCCTCGACCTCGTTCACCACGACTTTACTGTAGCTGGGACACACGAATGTTTCGTTCGATTACGGTGAACCTTGCCGATCGAGATAACGAGATCGAAACAAATAACTTAAGTATATCGACTCACTCGTAATTCTTCTCGTACGGAGAATACGCCTCGTGCTCGTACATAGCGTTGCTAGGCGGTTTCTGGCCCAAGGATGGTTTATCGTCCTCGGCAAGAGCCGCTTTTAAGCCTCCTAATCCCGAGGCAGCGAGGGTTCCTGCGTAAATAAATATCAATCTAGAATCAACTTCGCACAGTATTGGCCGGAATGTTTTATTTTAACGAGCAGCTCACGTTTCTCCGCGTTCGAGGTGAAGGATTCACCTGCGGCGGCGGCGGCGGCGGCAGCTTGTCGATTCTGCTGATTGCCAAACATCAACATTTCCTGCGTACGTTTTGCTGCAATTGACATTGCGGGGGTGGGGCATTAAAACGACTCGAAGTCCAAGTGTATAATTTTGAAATCTTACATTTCGGCTTCATGGCCTGGTCCGCCTTCTTCGCGTCCTCCATCAGGTTCGTAGGCAGGCACATGCCTATCGAGACCAGGGAGAACAGCAGCAGCAGCAACCACGCCCAGTTATACGTCATCTGCGACAAAATTTCGGCATTTTCACTGCCGGGCCACTTCCGATTCTTTCTGCATAACGATCGTTCGCGACCGCAGGCATCGTAGGAGCACAATTTGTTATGGTTCCTCGAGGGATTATTAGCGATCGAAGCGCGCGACCGGGTCACCGTACTGAAGAAACTTAAATGTCATGCAACGCGAAATGTCGGGAGTCTACATTCTATTCAACGCGATGCGTCGAAAGACCGAGGGTAGGAGCAACAAGGGCGTTCGATAAAGGGTCGAGTGTGGTTACATAAAAATATTACGTCGCAGAGTTGTAGGTATAATAAAATTTCTTGAGATATGACGTCACGACGCTCACGACACTCGCGACTTGATGTAATCGACGCGGCTTACTTTCCTCGGCTATGACGTTACCCTATGACGTAGACAGCAAGAGAGTTCCCGGCTACTTTACGTCACACATGTGTAACTTGACAGGTTGACTTTATCGAACTTAGTTTTATCGCGTGACGGCGATACAGCTCCCCGCGTGTATAAAAAAGATTCCGCGAGAAATAATAAATACCCTAAAAGCCGAAGCTATTATTTCCGATCGACGTATCGTCGGAGACTCGGGAGTCTCGCGAGCAGCAGCGGAAACTTTACGAGCGTAAATTCAAGTCTCGTTGATTGGAGGGATCTGAATGAGGGAATTTCCTAAGGCTGGAGGGCGCAAGTTTCCGCGTGTCGCACGATCGAATTACCGCTTAATTGCTCTCGATTGGCCTCTCATTAACAAATTACAGAGACCCTCCGAGGTCTAAGTTAACCCGCGTAATTACATCAACTCTAATGGTGATGCTGGAAATGGCTGCAGAGAGTAACGAGCGCACGGACGCGGTGCTATCTCGAAATGTCAGAGTTGAAAATTGCGTGTGGAGAACCATATGTATTTAACGTAACTGCGTATTTACGGTGGCGCGAGACAGCTTTGGACATTGGACATAAAGCTTCGCATAAAATAATGGCTCGCGTTACGCAATCTGGAAAGTTTAATCGGATTTGCCGCTGAAAAATACCTACGTGACCTCTGACCTTTCCAATTTTGCAGGGAGATTCCTTTTTTTGCATACAAAGGTCATTTAATCTAGCGTTTTCGCTCGCCTCTCGATAATAGCTATCCTTCGCCGACGTAGATTTAAACGAAACATATATACCTTTCGCGATGCGTTCTCGGCAATTAAATCACTGGATTAAACGCCTGAGAATGATTGCCGGTACTGACATTTGTCCAAAACAATACGGCAAAGTTTGACAATTAAAGCTCGAGCCGCGTAGTTGCGCGCCAAACCGGACATAGTATAGACCTAGAAATCGTACACTTGTTGCATCTACAAATACTATAGTCATTTATCGGCGTGTACGAGCTGCACGGCTAGGCAAATCGCAATTAAAAATGCATTTCATTGAACGAGAGAGCTCTCGTTGACGTTGAGCGAATTAAGTGTGCGTAAAAGCCTTACCTGAGAGATAATTAATTGTAATTTACTACAACTGCAGAATGGAAGAGCACGTACACACAGAGCACGCATTATTATTTACACACACACACACACACACACGCACGCTCAGCCAGCTGTGAAAAATTTCTTGAAGCAGATATAAAGATGTGAATCTTGTTTCTACCGAATGTAAAGGTACCACCGAAATATCACAGTTGATTTGAGGCCGCGCGCAACTACCTGTATGAATGCGCGAAAAGTGGCCGGCTACACGATGGCCGATAAAACGCGTTTGTAATTACATTCGCTCGAATGTCGGAATCCGTTGATTTTTTCGTCCGGTAAAGTATTGTCGATAAAAAAAAGGGTATCAAGAGTGAAAGGAAGGCTGCGCGAAGCGAATCGTCTACCTTTCGAGACGCAGCGATTTCGCCGGTTTGCCCTTCAACAAGGACGGTCGTGTCTCTTCTCTGCGCTTCCTCTCGCGGTAGTCCTTCGGCTGGCTCCTGGCTGGAGAACAGGCACGTCCTAACGGATCCGCCGGCTCGGGGTGGAATGAATGTCGGGGCTCGGCAGGACGAGTAGAAAAGCGGGTACGGTCGATCAACCAACCCCCACCTTGGTGAACGAGTATTCCCCGTCTCTCGACTCGCGTCGTAGGGTGGTGAGCACCCTACGACGTCGACGACGCCGCCGCCGCCGCCGCCGCCGCCTGCGCGCGCGCGCTGCGTTTCCACACGTCGTGCGTGCGTGCGTGCGTGCGTGTGCGTGTAGGTAATCTTACACGTACACGATCCCGTTGTTGATACAAGAGGCTCTGCCCACGCAATGACCCAATCTACGTCTTCCCGACAGATCCCGGCTCCCTACGCTACGCCCCAAGGATCGCTTTGCGTGGAAATTACTCGTTGTTATTTTGCTGTCGACCGGCATTATCGGAGAGCCGCGCGCGACTCGTTTCCAAGTTTGACAAAATACGGGAACGGGAATTGAAGTAATGGTAGGAAAAATCTTGTACATAGGCGAAGAGAGACGCTATATTCGAGTCCTTATTGCCAGCAAGTAATTGGATATTTTTGTAAGCCGAACGTAACGGCATTCTGCCTGAGTGTAAAAGGGCATAGGTCCGCTTACGTTTACGGCTCTTCTGCCAGCCCTTGAAACTCGAATCGGCACGAGCGCTAAACGCGTGCACGGTTCGTCTCATCTTGAAAGAATGCAGCCTTCACCTTAGCAGGATCGAGAAGGAGCTACAAAGTATGCGACTATTTGCGTCCTCTATTAAGCTATTCCTACTCTCTGCAGCTCTCTGTATTTATAATTTTCTCCATGAATTTATAAGAGCGGATCTTTCATGCAGAGATAATCTCGCATTCTGCTATCTTCAGTCAGGCGTTAAATTGCGAAGAAGCGGCGCTAAAAGGAAAGGAGAGAATCCGCTATTGTTAGTCGTACACTCGATCGCGCGAATGCTGTAAGGGTAAAACGCGCAGGCCACAGACACTCGGAAGAATTAATAGAAAGTTAAAACTCACTCTACCAGGCATAGCAACCGGCACTGCGTCACGTAACAGCTACGATGACGTTACCTGCTTGTCTTTAATATTAATGTGGCGGTTACGCAAACGTCATAGGGGTAGTTTTCTTTGGCATTTGAAACGGTGACGTTACTACGGGTCTATGACAGGGGAAACATGTATACTTAAGTAGTAGAGCCGTGTGTATTTTCAGCCGGCACATTATCTACCGTCCCAATCTCCACTTTACAAACATTTACCTTGGCGATACGAGTGTTTCTAGTAAGAAAATTCGACAATTTCCGATTGTAATTGTTACTACAATCTACGTCCCAATAACTTGAAAATATGATGTTAGGTTTCCTTATCTAAAGGCACACACTTTAGCCTCTTTCTCCATAATTCATGTAAATTATATATCTGCAAAGTCCAAAGAAATTACGCCTTGAGGGATGGGGGTTTAGGAGTGAAAATCCAGCGAGGATCTCGCGCGACCTAGCCTCTCTCTCTCTCTGGCCTCCACCCCTCGTTCCGTATTCGTCCCCAATCACCTAGCTTCAGCCCCCGCAACAGGCCGTACGCCCACGCGCGCTTCCACCGACCCCCGCATCGAGAATCGTGGGTCGGTGCGGAGAAACGGGGATATTTTTTTCTCGCGTCAGCAGACCGATGCTCGGACGACCTCCGCGCGTCAGGGTTTCCCACCCCTTCAACCCGGTTGAGCGGCACCTCTCGCAACCGTATACGCGAAAACAATAACGATGACAAATATTCCCCAAATATCTATAAACGTACATGATCGGTTTCAAGAATATCGTCCGTTTTCTTCATCTCGCTAGTGACACCGTATACGCAGTATTGTCTTTGGGAAATTGCAATTTTTCCCAAGGGTTCGTACGTTCGACTATAGGAATGAATGAAATATATCCAAGACTCCCGGGGATGTGTGACTGCACTTAAAGTAATATATCATGTCCGATAATATCAACGGATCAACACTCGTACAGCTGTGAAGGGACTCGCTCGTTGACGAGCGAAACGAAAACTGACTGATCGAGGTCGTTGCAAATAGCGCTTACCTCGCGAGACAATATTAATACAATACATATTTTCTACCTAATTTGAATCTCGTTGACAAATCTCGCGAAATAAATTCGAGACGCGACGGGGATTCTATTTATAATTTTATATCGCGTGCTTTTTGTATGCGTGCGCGCAACCCAGGTTCTCCAGGTCAATTATCCAGTGTATTGCACGACACACATAAAATTATAAATAGAATTCTGTCCGAAATTCTCTCGTGAATTATTAAGTAAAATTGAGCTTAAGCCGATTTTAGACAATCTACAATTCGTGACAGATTTCTAGCGATAATTTTGTACCGTGGAATATATAGAATATAACGCGTGTGCTAAATGTGTATTTCTGGTTCGTGACACAATTTACTGATGCTTGAAAAAGGCAAGCACTTTTCCGTTTTAATAGAAACGTGCTCAATTTTTCCATGTATAAAATTGGATGCACGTATACATAAGTAACGAGGAGGATGATATCTTGTTAGATCTGAAAATAAAAATAGCCTCTGTCGAATTAAAGTCATTAGATACGATGGATATTACCGTGAGGCACAAGTGCCGATTCCTCCCGAGCAATTTGGAGGTAACGTTGTTTCATCAGGATGCGGTCCTACCGGGCCTTACTTTCGCGAGTAGACGCTTCTCCCGGTAGACTCCTGGTGCATCCGCCCTCGTACAGTAATTGACCTATTTTCGTTAGCGTTGTCGTCGCCGCCGCAGCAAAACGCTTGCGCAAATTGGCTCGGATGAGGACAGGTGCAGCCGGTAAATTGCGAGAGTCCGTCGCGCCGCGCATCGGAGAGTTGATGGTTTGAATCGCGGGGAAGAATAGAGCGAATGGAGCACAGAAAAGTCGCATTAATACCATTTTCTTGCCGAGATTGACAATTTTTACACAAGGCAACTGCAAAGATGCCTCGAGCGATAAAACCCGATGAAATAGGTCATTTTCTCACTGCTAGTGCAATGATTGCTAGAAAGTCGATTAAATTTCGAAGGAGATGTAAGACTCCATTTTGTCCACCTCTCTTCGTTTACGCTCAATTATTGTGGCGAGTACTCTCGCGGTGAGCTAATACGAAAGCGTAGTCAACTTTTACCATTTTGCCTGCCTTCTGTTGTAATGAAATCTCACGGCGAACGTGACGAAAGTTGGGCGAAAGAGGAGAGCGATATTGGGCTCGAGTCTCGCCTCCATCGAGACGGTCGATCAGCCGAGTCGCGAGGCGAGGGTTTCGCAAAATCGCGTAAGCTGTAGGCCGGACTCCCATTGACGTCAGTCTTTGAGTCCGCCGAGTGGCGAATCCCCGCACAACCGGCTAAAGAGTGAGGGTTGATGGAGGGGCGAACGGTCAGGGAGACCAAGGGAGACCAAGGGAGACCAGGAGGTCCCTCCATCTGCATCCGCGACGGGCTGACGAGGGGGGGGGGGGGGGGTTGAGAGTACAGTAGCGTCACGCGAAACAGTAGCGAGCCGGCCCCTTTCCGCGACATTCATCATCCATCAGCGGATTTCAGTAGTAAAAGCACCCGATAGGGATGCAAAGTGAGTCAAGGGAAAGGGAGTTTTCGCCGCGTTTCGGCATAATTGCCGACGGTGAGAGATTAACACAATCGATACGGGCCTGCACAGCGCGAAATGTTATGAGTTCGAGGAAGGGGATGGTCCCGAAGGAACGGATCGATGTTCCCGCTGCGTAGTAAAGGACGCCTGTTGATACGCGGCAGGAGCGGTTTCATTCATGAAAGCAGCCAACGGGGCGCGGGCCTCGCCTCGCCCTCTTCGCCCGCGCCCGCGCCCTCGCCCTCGCGACGTTACTTCGATTCGGCTACCGCGTATCCCCTCCAAGAGTTGCGGGAAAAATATCGCGTATGACTTTGAAGGAGAAAATCTCTCCGACCACAGGCCCAGTTGGTCCAACGCGATAAAAGCATCCTTACATCTTTGCGCGAGAGGCTAACGTAATAAAATGGTAACACCATCTAGCGCCATCTGTTGCCGCCAAAGCATATTTGCCCCGACTCTCTCGCTCGGTAATGGTTGTAATCCGTGGCGAGAGGCGAGACTCGAACGGTACACGAATAGACCAATCACAATCACAATCGGTACGGGGAATAGGAATTTTCGAGGATGCCAAATGACGATTGGACGGTTCGTTTAATGACAAGTGTGTTTGTTGTTTTCCTTGTTTACGCGCTTTTATGCTGCTCCTGAAAGGTTCCCGATTATATCGCTCCGATTGGCGATTCGAGCGGACGCGCCTCGTTGCAGTGCTCGCTCGGCGGAACATCTTGGCGGCGGAAGCGGAAAGCTACTTTCATCGAGCCGTGACACCGTCTGCCTCTTCCACCACTACTTTCCACCGCGAGTCTTTTAGAATCGCCGCAAATTGGTACAAGTGACATTTCCTTTTCTTTTCGTCGAGCTTCCCAGCTAATCAGCTGTTACGGCTTTCAAGCGGCCACTTCTCTAGTTCTCTCCAAGAAATTGTCAAACCGGATAAAACGTAATGCTATAAACTTGTAGTGCGACTGTGCCGCGAGACTAGTCGAGCCGAATCCTCGAAAGAAGATGAGTTTTTCGGAGAAAGGGCAGGAGAGCATATCCAAGGAGGAATGGATGTCGAAGCTGGAAGAGAGCTCCTACATACAAAAAATGTCAATGAACAACTTGATCATGAACTATCTAGTCACAGGTAATTAATTGTCCAGTCTATCTGCCGCCTTATCGAAGGCGTTATTGTTAACGAAAGCTTCCGTTGAGCAGAAGGATTTAAGGAGGCCGCCGAGAAGTTCCAGCAAGAGTCAGGAGTCGGTCCGACCGTAGAATTGAGCTCCCTCGACGACAGGATCCGTATTCGAGACGCCATACAGAACGGTCGTATCCAGGAAGCCACAGACTTGGTCAATCAGCTGCATCCCGAACTCTTGGACAACGACAGATATCTCTACTTTCATCTGCAACAGTTGCATCTCATTGAGCTGATACGCACGGGTAGAGTCGAGGAGGCGCTCCAGTTTGCTCAGGATCAACTCAGCGAAGCTGGCGAGTCGGACGACAATATACTGTGCGAGTTGGAACGTACATTGGCACTGTTGGCCTTTGACGAGCCGCACAAGAGTCCGTTTAGCGACCTTCTACATCCAACGCACAGGCAGAAAGTGAGTACTACCTCTTCTGTCCCTTCCGAGTCAATTACAGATTGTCATTTACAGATCGCGAGCGAATTGAACGCCGCTATATTGAAAATGGAGCACAGGGAGTCTACCAGCCCTCGACTTAACAATCTGTTAAAGATGATATTGTGGGCTCAAGACGAGTTGGACAAGAAGAAAGTGAAATATCCCAAAATGACCGACCTCGGTAGCGCCACGATTGAAGATACAAAATAATTTTATACTAGACAGAGACTGGGAACGTTTCTCAGTTTTATTTATGAATCAGATAGATGAATTGACCTTTAAGTGTAATTTTGTATAAATTGCTGTTCATTTTGTAGCAAATTATATCCGAATTTTAATCGTATATAAGAAGTTAGAGAGAGAGAGAGAGAGAGAGAAAGAGTGTGTGTATGTGTGTAGAATTATTAATGTATTGATTATATTACAAATTATAATAAGAAATGTAACGATTAAACTGACGCATTATTGTTATCACTGTTGTAAGGAATAAGAATTATTGCAATATTTCTTATGTCTTTCTAATATTAACATGATACGAGTGTAGAGTCGGTATTTTCAGATTAACGTACATACAATATTGTTTGCTAGGAATACATGTATACGTCACGCGCAAAAGATTTACACCGAGACCCTGGCTATCTCTTCTCTTTATAATTGTAAACATACATCCAAATATAACATGTGATAATCTTAAAAAAGTAACAACCTTTACAGAGGCGCCCATAATCGTAATATGGAAAAGTTTATTTTTAAGATAATAGATAGCAATTTCGTTTAGGCTTCAAATTCAAATATCTTTCCAAAAGATTCATATATTGTCCTTGGCAATTTCCTTTCTACAATTCTTCATCAACATATTTCACAATGTTAAGTATAATTATTATTAAAAAGAGGAAAAAAAAAACAACTACCAACCAAACATATATTCCATCGCTTTTGAAACAAAACTGGCCGACTTTTGTGGCACATTCTCCGGCACTTGCACGACTTGCGGGTTAAAATGTTGATTGTAACCCACTGCTAAAGATCTGAGTTTCCGTCGTCTCGCGGTAGGCGACGCGTTGAACGACTCCACCCTTGGGGATTGACCGATTCTACCCATTGAAAGCGACCTCACGCTCCCATTCAACTTGGCACGATTTTCCTTATCGCAGCCCAGAACGACACCCTCGTCCGTACACGGTATGACGCCAATCATAATTGTGCCCGAAACGATACTGCCGTTGCACATAAGAGCCTTTTGCGCCTCCTGTTCCGACGCGCACTTGAGGTGTATCCAATTGCTTTGGGGTTGCGGGGCCGGATGTTTGTCCACTATACGAACTCTACTGGAGATGTAAGACAGAACTGCATTGATATCAATCGGCAAGAAGCCGAAGACGGTCACCCATTGCAACAGACTTTGGGACTCGCTCGTGCTCAAGTTTATCGAACTGTCGGCAAACATCAGCGGACTGGCCAACGTATTCGTCACGAGTTTGGAATGATTCATGGGCGTAGTTGCAGCGGCTGGATTTGCAACTGACATGGCTGGCGACGAGGCGTGCATCACCTCCAGAGTATCAAACAGTCCGCGCGTTGGCGGCCCCCCGGCATGATTCTTCGTGCTCATTTGTGGCGTGCTAGGAGTGGTAGTAGTGTTGCCAAATATTGCCTTCTGACGATTCGATCGGTAATCTGGGGATCCATAGGAGACCGACGACATCAGATTGGCGTTGGAGATGTTCAAGTGACGTGGATTTTCTTGAGGACTCGTCACGTTCATCTTTCCTGGCTGAAATTTTCCACATTAGTAAGCAGAACGCAACAACGAAATATATTATCTTCTCACAGTGTTAGTGTCGCCCAAGAGAAAACTCGGCAAATATGGGGAGGAACCTCCTGGACTGGCAGAACCTTGAATAGGGCTGTGCATCGGCGATCCCAGAGTCATAGGCTCCATCTCGTCCAGGGTTTATTCCATAAAACTGCAATAATATTCAGAAACAATCTATCACACGGAATAAAGAGAGGGCTCCAAAACGTACAAGTTTGTAGGTTACTTTTACAATATTTCAAATTAACTTGCGAAACGTTTCGGTTATTGTACCATATTTAAATGACTTACGGTGGTCCTCCCTGCGGGGAAAAATGTCGCTCTCAAAGAGCACCTTGTTTTATATATATATATATATGTGTGTATGAGCGCCAAGATAAATAATAATATTAAAAAATAAAAGGCATCGACCGAAAGCGCAAAGATGGCTCTGGAGGCCAGCTGGAAATGACGGAAGGAAAGGACGGGTGCGCGGCGGCGGCGCGCGGAGCGGTGAAACGGCCCCAACCTCGATGGATCCCTGATGACGCCATGATCTACGTCGCCGTATCGCACAGCCGCGGGCCGCGGATCGTGTAGGCGCGGATCCAGCCAGCCAGGGCCAGGCCCCCTTTTTTAATCATGAGTACCATCGACCGCGGGTCCTTCCTCCGGACGTGAACGCATCAACGACCGCCGTTTAATCCGGTAATCGCTCGCATCCCGTCCGTTCGCGGATTGCGCGCGCGCGCGCGCTCCTAACATCGCGTAGAGATAAAAAGCGGCGGTGGCGGCGGCGGCCGCTGCTGCTGCTGCTGCTGCTGCCGACAGCCGAGGTGTGCCCGCGCCAAGAGGATCTCTCGGTCTTCCGCACGCGCAAACTCGCGGGACTCGGCGTGAGAACCTAACCCGTGGGACTCATCGGCGGGAGGAGGCTCCCGTAGGCACCGGTCACCGCGACCCCTCGGGGGGGGAGGCTCCGTTGTCCCCTGGATCTCTCGTCTACCTGTGCTCCGAAAACGGAAACGGGCGATCCCTCCTCCCTCCCTGGCGGGGGACCCTCCCACCCAGCGAATGACACATCTCGGTGGAACGAACCGAAATCGCAAATCGTAAATAATGGCCGTATTTGACGAATTAGAGATAGATCCCATACATGTATATCTGCCGTATCGCGATGTTTCACAGATTTCTCTCTCTCTCTCTCTCTCTCCCCTCCCCCTCTCTCTCTATCCATCCATCCATCTGAAATTACATTTTTGTCCTTCTTTGCAGGAGGATAGCAAGAATGTCTGTGCCACCTCCGCCACCGCCTCCGCAGGCCGGTGCTTCCGCTGGCCCGCCAGTGGGCGATAACAGGGGCCTGTTGCTGCAGTCCATAAGGGCGGGCAAAACTCTGAAAAAGACTGTTACCGTGGATAAGAGCACGCCTGCTGTCGCCGGTAAATTATCAGACTGAAACTCCACGTCTGTGTGGAATAGCAATAATGTGTAGAAGCATCATTTGTTTTGCAGGGAGAGTAAAAGGCGACTCGACGAGCTCTTCGTTAAGCAATAGCGGTAGTAGAACTAATAGTTGGAGTGCAATGAGCAGCAGCAGCAGCAGCAGCGGTAGCAACAACAGCAGCAGCAGCGGCAGCAACACCAATTCTAGCAACGGTGGGCCCATGTCGCTAGGCGGTTTGTTCGCCGGTGGTATGCCAAAATTAAAACCTACGGGGCTGAGAGGCAACATGACCGAGAAGGAGGGACAAAGTGTACATAATTCTAGTTTTCTTCACTCGTCACCCGGATCGTCGCACAGCATAAAGCGGGGCCCGCCTCCAGTTCCGCCACCAGCCGCGCAAAAACCGCAGATATTCAGTCAGGTAAAAAAACGGGCTGCTTAACTCGCGACCGTCCCTCGTGCGTACGTACGTTTGTGAAGCTGTTAAATGTTGCGCAGGGGCAAAGTAGCAGCGATTCGACGACGAGCAATCCGGAGGTTACGCCCAGAGGATTGGCGAAATCACCCATCGTGCCTAAAGCAGCGTCGTCTGCCACTCTGCAGAAGCCGTCGCCGCCGCCTAAGAAGCTGAATCTGACGAGTAGCGCGAGCGTGGCAAGGGCGCAGAGCATGCGACTACCGCGATCGCCGCCGGTCCTGGTGCCGTCCACCTTGCACCAGTCGCAGGATTGCCTGAACGAGGCTGCCACGCCGCAGCCTACGAGACCCGCGAATCGAATTCTCAGGCCACCCGTGACGAGACCACCGTCACCGCCCGTCTCGCGGACGATCGTGCCTATGACGAGACCACCGTCACCGCCGGCCTCGCGGTCGCACACGATGCCCGTGACCGCCATGAGGGCGGCGCCGCCGCCGCCGTCAAGGGTCACGGTCACTGCCCCGTGTATACCGCCACCACCGCCGCCGCTTCCACATCGGCCCGCACCCACGCATCAGAGACTGGCACCGCCGCCGCCGCCGCCGCCGACGCCTCCTACCAGGAGTCTGTCGGTGCGCAACGGTGGTGGCCAAACCTCCGTCGACCTCGAGATACGATTCGCCGAGATGTTTCACACCGCGTCGACTTTCCCATCGCCGGAACCCTTCAGGGGCTTCTCCAAGGTTTATAGTAGCAGAAACGGTAAGAGCACCCGGCCAAGCATATTCTTTCACCTGCCGTTATAGAGCACTCGGCGCTTCCAACTAATGATTAAGAGTTTAATATTCTCTTCTTTATTGCGTTACAAGAGTAAGCACACCGCTTCCTACATTATCCGCACACCTCCATTGCGTATTCTTTAATCTTATCCCGAGTACGTGCATGTTGTAATTAAAACTTTATTACATGATCTATCTTTCTTATTTCTATTTCTTTTTCACATTATTTTTCAAGGTTTTTTCCCAACTACTAACTTTTGTCGACGCTGCTTCACTACCTTCAGTGCCTTCCGGCAAAAGTACAAAACACAGAAGATACTAAGACTCAAACCGCTCATATTTCTTTATAACCAGGGGTATATGTATAAATTAAGCTGCATGCTGCCAATTGCACCCATGAATATTCATAATGAAATTTATAAGCTCCGCACGTTGTTCCGTTATTAACGGAAAGTAATGGAATCGTTTGAAAAATTACAGCAGCAAAGCAACAAGCACCAGCTCCACCTCTTCAACCATCATCTACTCCTAACACCCTGCATTCGTTAAATACTTCGTCTGGGAGTAAACAGTGGCAACACAACGCGACCTCTTTGGCTTATTGAAATCTGTGCATACTTAAATCATTGCCTCGTGCATTGATATTGTTTAAAAACTTGTCGATGCTGCCACAATAAAATAACATGTTAAACTAAGTGAGTGTGAAAAGGTGTGAATCGGCCAAGTATAAAAGTTTGAAAGAGAGCGAGATTTTCCGAATTCGCGAACCTAGTTATACAATAAAATGTTTTAGACAATATTTTCTGTACAGTTTATCTTAGGAGAAAGAATATATTTAATATAGATTATACTTACATGTGTATATACATACGTACGTACGTACACGCATGTACGTGTCTATATATATACATATACATGTATATGTAAAAGAATCGTTAGAAACTCTAGGCCTGTTATTATCTAACAAAAACTTTAAAAGAGATTGATGTGGAAGGCCCGTTTATTTTCCTTTTAAAAACAACATACTCATTTAATCTTCTTAATCATTGTATTACATTTTCTTATTTACTTCTGTAAAATCAATAAATATCACGCAAAAATCATTACTTCAGGACACTCTACGATACATTTTTTTACCATTGATAATTATACGTTAGACGTTAACAAAGGCCAAAATATATAAAGATGCAACTTATTTTTCAATACTAATAAACGATTGCACACACATGCACGCACACACACACACCCACATACATACATACATAGCAGCAATTCGTCGACTTAAGAATAATTGTATTAATATTGTATAATAAAAATCTTTATATACAATGCAGAATGGTAACAGCGGTCAATATATTTTCAAATGAAATAGAACATTCTTTTATCTAACAATATCTTTTATTACTTTCTTCTATAATAGAGTAATATTAAATGTGTGTAAATCTTTGTAAATTCTATTTTTATTCTATTGCATATCGACCTGCACAGTCGAACAATTTGTTTAAATGTACAATATACAAGAAATTTTCAAGGAAGATAAATACAATTCGTGATAACAAATTCTTTCTTAGGGCAGGAGTTACACATTGTAGTTATTAAAGAGGAAAACGAGAGAGACGTGTCAAGTTAATAAATAAATTGTATATAATACGTTATTAACAGTCACTAAATTTGTTTCGGAAAAAGTATTTTTTTAAATAAATAAAATACCTTTGGCGATTAAATGCCTGGAAAAAAAAACTTTTGTCGAAATTAAAGGCGATACTTGTTTTATCATGATGCATTACTAATTACTTAGTACAGAACAATGTAAGATGACGATATCACAAATTTGGACAAAATTTAAACTTTTTCATAATTCAAGCTCCTTCTCAATGATCCTGCGATACTCGTCGAAACCTTCTTCGATACAGCGAACTGATCCTTCTCCGCAAACCCACAATTCTGTACAAACCATTTGGATTAAACGTTCATCGTGCGACACCAATATTACACCAGCCTGCAACCATAAAATATTGATTGAATTACACATACACGCACGGCACACAAGACGAGAAATGAAGTATTTCCCAGTTGGGCCTGTAGCGCCCGTCGTAGAAATAGTGACAAACACTCACTTGGCAGTTGTTGAGAGCTTTCCCCAATGCTTCGATCGATTCAATATCGAGATGATTCGTAGGCTCATCGAGCACTAGGAAATTGGGCGTTGCGGCGCACATTAACGCGAACGCTACTCTGGACTTTTGCCCGCCAGAAAGGGAGTTTATGGTTTGCAGAGCCAGATTGCCACTTATGCCAAAACTTCCGAGCATTCGCCTATACTCTTCGATTGGTTTACCTGCCAGAGCAAACCAGAGAGTAATGATTAACAGCTATTTTTCACGAGTCTCGCGATGCCGTGACACCACGTACCGGGAAAATGCGTTTGTAACAACTCGACGGGACAAACACGCATGTCCAGTTGATCAACGTGATGCTGACTAAAGTACCCAAACTTGAGATTTCGATGTACATGCACCGTCCCTCGTGTTGGGCTCAACGCGCCTGTGATAATTTTCAAGAGGGTAGTTTTACCCGCGCCGTTCTCCCCGACGATACAAATGCGCGATTGCAGACTGGCAGTAAGATTCACATTGCTCAATACCGTGTCGATTCCGTTGTAACTATACGATACTTCATTGAGCTGCAATATCGGCGGACTCAGTGGTTCAACGTCCGGGAAATTGAGCGTCACTTCGCTTTCCTTTTCCATTGGCTTCAATTCAGGTCTGCCGAATAAGAGAAAAGGTAAATTTCGATGGTAGACGGACGGCCCATAGGACGAAATGACGAGACTTACAATTTCTCCAACATTTTTATCTTGCTTTGTACACTAGACGCGCGATTCGCATTGTATCGGAATCTGTCGATAAATTCCTGCACGTGCGCTCTCTTAGCCTGTTGCGCTTCGTACTCTCGTTGCTGGTTCCTCTCGCGTTCGCCTTTCGTTTTCACAAATTGCTCGTAATTGCCGCGATACGCCTCTATTCTCTGTCCGCGCAAGTACAGAATATCAGTGGGCACCTGTCGGAGAGATGACGATGAGAGATAGACAAGTACAAGATTATTACAACATTTAGATAAATAGTAAGGTGAACTGACCGTGTCCAAAAATTTCCGGTCATGCGACACTACGAGTAAGGTTTTCGGCCACGTTTGCAGATACTTTTCCAGCCACAGTATCGCTTTGATGTCAAGCATATTGGTCGGCTCGTCGAGCAGCAAGAGGTCCGGCTTGGAGAAGAGTGCCCTCGCGAGAGCGAGTCTCATCCGCCAGCCGCCGGAGAAGGCCTTGGTTGACCAGGACTGCCTCTCAATGGAGAATCCGAGTCCCGACAGAATGGCGCTTGCTCTAGCGGGTGCCTTGTCGACCTCGGCTAACTGCATCGCCTCGTATACCCGGGCCAATTCCTCACCCAACACATCCCCCGTCTTGGAGCCGTCCTTCTCTATCGCTGCTTGCAATTTCGCCTCCTGGCTGAGCAACGCGCTCCTTTCTTGATCGCATTCCAGAACGGATTCGAGCGCAGACGTGTCGTCGCCGGCTACCTCCTGCTCCACGTGCAACACTCGCACGTGCGACGGTATTCTCAGCTGCTTGCTAAAATCGGGATTTGGTAATTGTGAGATTGACGTTAATTGCAACGATTGAAACAACCAGCCGGATATTACCTCGATATCATTCGAAGCAAGGTAGTTTTGCCGAGTCCGTTTCTACCTATCAGACCGTATCGCCTGCCAAATGCAAGCGTCAAGTCAGCACCGTGCAATAATACTCTATCGCCGTAAGCGACATCAAAGTTCTCTATCCTGATATCCTGAGTTTTGTTCACCCCACCTTTCGTCTCCATTCGACTATCTTTCTTACTGGTCATTTGACTGGCGCTGGCCGCGCTTTCAGCCGCGTGATTGGCAGTGTTGATACGGGAAGCCGATCCCAGCTCGTTTACAATTCGTTTTTCCTGCTTCTGTTGCAACTTGGCCTCGGCCTTCTCCAGCTTCTTGGCATCTACTTTCTGTCGACGCGTTAACAAATCTACGTGAGTAAGGCAAATCGGAAGCAACTAAGCGGTTGAGACTAAACGAGTACAACTATACATCACCATCGCGTCGTCCCTAGTCGTAACCCATATACTCTTAATCTGCTCGACTTGCGCCTCCAAGGTAGCGGCTAGCGAGCCTAGATGCACCGGGGCATTTAATACTTTGTTAACGCCGTTTCTTCTCCTGTCCATGTCGTCGTCGTCGTTGGAACTACCTTTCAATATTTCCAACAGTCTCACGCATATTTGCCTGCATACAGAGAACCAATTAAGTATGGGCGATGAGATGTTGCTTTCGCCGCTAATTCGACAATTGTAATAGACGAGTGAGAGGACATTTACAGACCTAACCTCGTTTTCTGATTTGTCCGCCACCTCGTGCAACACCTGTCCGATCGCCTCGTACACCTCGTCGCCGTCCTCGAAGTCATCCTTGGAGCTGTCGAGGATACCTGCGTGCGAAAGGGTGCGCGCTCAAAAGCGGAGTTGGTCGACGATCGCGGTATCCCGTACCGTTGTCACCTACCTTGCACGTATTCATAGAGATCGTCGTCTATCGTCGGGAACTGGCTGCGGATGTACTCGCCACAGTTGGCCATGATAGTTGGGTCGCTTCTAGGGGATCAGCTCGAGAGAAAAAAAAGAGGGAAAGATCCGAGATCAGGGAGAGCCACGCTGACGTGCAGGTACCCGCTTGCCGCTCACCACTTGACAGACACTCTGCACTCTGCACTCTGCCGAGCCAGCCGAGCCAGCCGAGCTGCGCGAACACATGTTCGCCGCCATCTTGTCAGAGTGTCAAGCGACCGAAGGCGACCGAAGCGACGACGATCGCGCGGTGGTGGCTGGTGGCGGCTCCGCGGCTGGTGGCGGCCGCCATCTTGGAGCTGTCAAACGCGAGCCTCCTGCTGACGATGCGCGACTGCGAGCCCTCGGCGGAGTCGGCTGTCGGAGTCGCGTCCTCGCGTCCTCGCGTCGTCCGGGCTCTGGCGTTCCGTACTAGACGCGCGACCTTCCAAATCGCCGATTTAGGTTAACCGCGTAGTAGAAGCCGTGCGGGGCCGTGTGCGTCGTCATCATCGACGCACGATTCTGCGCGAGGTTTTCTGCAAAAAGTCTGCCCGCTAGGTTGATCTCGCTGTAAATAACTGCCGACGACGGAATCGGGCGAGCTGCCTCCATGCACCTTCGCTGAGACCACGCAGCGACGGGAGGGGTGGGGGGCGAGGAGCGAGGACGAAGGAGACAAGTCGACGGGGCGCGAACGCCCCGCTAGGAAGAGACGCCCTGGCGGAGTCGAATGTCGAGGGATTGCGGCGCGCGGACATGGACGAGCACGAGATACGTGTCCTCCCGCCCTTCTCGGCCGCCAACAGCAACAGCAACAGCAGTAAGGAACGCGCCAGGAAGAAGCTCTGGCGCAGCGCGGTAGAGATAGTGGCGAGCGACGACGAGGAATCGGACGCGGACGAGCACGAGTGCGGCTTCTTCTCGGCTAAGCGGCACTGCACCCAGCTCTCCAAGACCAACGAGGCTCGTCCAGACGCCGCGGTAAATATCACGTTACGTTCCTTAGCTAATTGCTCCTCGCTCGTTGATGATTAGAGAGATTATTATTGCCCTAGGAACAGGAGACGAGCGCTAATGCCGAGACTCCGGCCAGCAACGTGGAAAATATCGATTACGACGAAATTATATACCAAATACAGATCGAGGAGAAACTCAAGTTGTGGCAAGCTTTCCAAGAGGAGGAGGGATCTATGGATAACAGCATTAACGAAGTGTTGGCTTACTATAGAATGATGCATCCGCCCGATCCTCTGGAGGAAGACTCGGTCGGTTCCAGGTTCCATTTGTCCTACAGAGGACATGGAAACGACATGGAGGACACGGCGGTAACGATGGCGATCCGCAATCACGGCTTAGTCCAGTCGGCCGAGCTCGCTCTTCAGCCTCACTATTGTAAATGCATAGGTGTCGATTGTTCCTTTTCATCCAAATGTATGTACGAACTCGAAGACTTCCCTTACGGGGCGGTCTACAGCAATGTGGAAACGGGCAGATGCAATACGTTGGATGCAGATAAAGTATACGAGTGCGATCAACCGGAAGACTTCCTCGAGCGCGCCGTCGGGGAAGCGATCAAGAAGAAAGGTCTAAGCGCTCTGAGTGTTGATTACGGTTGATCCAACGCTTCGTCTACGCTCGCTCTAATTCCCTTATTCCTCTGCTCTGTAAACCTCTGTAAACCACCACTACGTTTTATACTTGATTTCGGTCATACGACAGTTGTAATACGTTATTACTCTGCGAGCGATCATGTCTTGAGACATTTATATACACATACATATATACATTCCGATCTAACGACTCGCTTACAAGACAACTTCAACTTTATTTTATCAAGTAATGTTAAGTAACGTCCAAGTTACTATAGCGACTTTCCCTTTCGTTGTAGCGATTATCCTTTCAATAGCCAGCCATATAGTATTAATATTGCGTTAATTGTGCCTCCATACAGATAAACGTATGTATGGAGATATAATTATATATATATATATAATATATATATACGTTAAATCAAACTAGCCTTGTAAACCACATACATATACTTGAAAAGTATAAGCAGCTATTTTGATTATAGTATAAAATTTGTTTTAATTAGAAACGTGTACGTTTCCTCTTCTTTGCAGTTGTCAAATTTGTGACTCGCTTCTCCCTCTGTACTATAATATTAATTATAACATATATGAAGCCTACGCATCTTTTTATTAAACACGACGTAATTGCAAGACGAACAGAGGAGAAACGAAAGAGAAGTATCTTGTTTGCGAGAAACAAGCTTCACTCCTCGGAAATTTAGGTTCAAATTACGCGCGGTTTTATCGATGGAATGTAACGTGACGCGATTGGCTACGTAAACGAATTGCCGGGTGTGCCAAATAACTTTCTTTAGCCAATCGCAGGGTACTGGGGTTATTATCTCGTCGCGTATTGGCAGCAATGCGACGTTGATCCGACGCGAAAGTCAACAGGTTTACTACCTGATAAAAAAGAAGAATGGATTGCAAACTCGGATGTTAAACGACCGACTGGATATTGTAGGTTTACGCATTGTTTCGATTAATTAATAAGAGCGAGCTATGGCTAATTCGTCCTTCTCGTCGTCCATGCAATCCCACAGCGAGCTGCTCACGGAGGAGCAGGAAACGGCAGTTTACAAGAGCATAAAGATGGTCGGGTTAAGCGAGACTTTTCAACGTGGTGGAGAGTACGTTGACGCGCGAATCCGTGCCTCTTGCTCAAGAGAAACATTTTCAATCTGTTGCAGAATCTGCAAGAAATTCAGAGAGCTACGCACGACATTAATCTCAAATTCAAAAGTATACAGGAAGAGATGCGTATCACGGCCGCTCTGGTGAAGGCGATCGAGTCAAAAACTCCAGCTACTAATCAGGATTGACACGCTCGCCAAGAGCAAAGGAGTGTGTCTCGGTAATGAGAAAAAATGTCACTCGTCAATTTCGCAATTTCTACTACGAGGACGTAACGAGGACGATATCAAACCGAAGCCTATGTAATGATATTTATGTTAGCATTCATGGATTTTCATTATTGTGTCGCACAAATACAATATCTGTGATAAAAATCATTTCTTCATACAAAAGATGGCTTGTCATAATATTCATGTAAAAATTTATTAATCAATCTTACACAAGTATAGTAATATTAAAATTCGCAACTTTTATATTACTTTTTTTATAAAATTAACTTACAAAATGAATCTTTGAAAATAATTTTTGCACTAAACATGGAATAAAAGTTAATTTTTATTCTTTTTCAACTTGTTCCTACGTGAGACTAGAACGAACGGAGATAGAAACAACTATTTTAAGGTCACTCGTTATTTTCAACAATTAAGAATTTGTGAATTTGTAACGTAAATTTTTACCAACTCCATTACTTCCTATTCGTACCGTGCGTATGCACGTTACAGCTTAATGTCTCTTCCAAGATCCTTTCTATTGAATATGGCCTTGTACATTCCATGTATCGATGTAACTGTTGTGCATGGTCAATCGTGCGACACTTGGCACACTTGCGAAAACAAAGATGGGAATAGTCTCTTTAATACAGGTGGCGCGAATAAAAAACATCTTGCGGAACGGGTTGAGTCGCAGAACACGCCTTGTTCCTTGTTTAAGCACGTTATTTGCTGCATTTATATCCATCTTCATATCTTGTATCCTATAACTACAGTTGCTAAAAGTTTCAGTTGACAATGTTGCGCCTTCTCGTACTATTGGCCCTTCCTTTCTGGCTCGGGTAAGAAACATGTTTATCTCTCTTTTTTTCTCTGTCTCCTGCGCTATAAAGATTCCCCATTGTGATTCAACCATTTTCTTCCTCGTTCAATAAAATTGAACATTTTTGAAAATTTCACAACTGCAACTTCGATATCGCGGCTATAAGATGGCTTGCTTACTATTATTATACTATGTTAATACTTGTAATTCTAAAGATAATTACTTGTATCATTATGTATCATATCGTATTATTTCATCGATATTTTACTATCAATAAATTGAGAATGTGTTACAAGCGCGATTATATCCCTGCGTTTTTAATTTAACAAAGCAAAATCGCAATGACAGATGTAAAATTTTTTTACAAATCACCTTCCTGAGTAAGTTCCGAGAAATATTAATTATCAATATTTCCTCACGTAAAAAAAACCCTAAAGATAAAATCTCTATAAATTATAATTAAATAAGACTCATTGTAACTCTGAATAACTTGGCTGCGATATATTCATTATTACTGTCGCACTGCTTGTTACATAATGAATTTATGCGCACGATATTGTGTTCGCGATATGTTCACATTCTCTAGATAAGAGCTGTATCGCACGAAATTGTAAGTCTCCTGATAATATCCGAGCAATATACAATCCTACGTAGCAACACGTATTTTATCGCTTCACCAATAAGCATTCGAGTATTATGAGCCTCAGCCTCGCTATAATTTCATATGATTCAAAACCATTTTGAACTCTTGACGTTTAGCAACGCGTTTTTTTAGCTCGCCTTACCTCGTACCGGTTAGCAATATACATTTTGCGTTTTACATCTGCGCATCGAAGACATCGGCGAACGAGATCATTGCGATTATTGGTTTTAAAAAGAGGCATCCCTTACATCTGTATTGAGAGCGTTTCATAGAAACTTGTTATTAATTCCAATCTTTATTCAGAACGAGCATGGCTGCAACGATTACGGCTACAACATGGGGTTCTGTGAACGGCCAGCAGATCCAAAAATTCACGCTGAGAAACAGAGCTAGTCAAGAGGTCGATGTGATAACGTATGGGGCGACAGTGACTGCCATTAGAACGCCGGATAAGGAAGGGAACATAGCGGACGTTGTGCTTGGCTTTGACAATATTGAAGGTAGTTCCAACTCGAGATTACTCGCTTATATGGAAAAAAAGAAAAAAAAGAGTATTATTCTCAAGTCCCATCGCTTCGACTGAGAAAGAGAAAGCTAAATAAAATATTTATTCATCATATTTTAGGCTATACATCAGCGAGTAATCCGTATTTTGGTGCCACCATCGGACGAGTCGCAAATCGCATCGGCAAAGCAACTTTTGTCTTGGACGGTCAACGTTACAATGTGTCGAAGAACATAGGTGAGGACAGCCTCCACGGTGGTACTCGCGGTTGGAGCTTCAAAGTGTGGGACGCAATAATTGATTGCGATCGCGTGGTGATGACCTTGGTCAGTCCAGACGGTGACGAGGGCTATCCGGGATCGGTAACGACGACAGTCAGCTTTCAACTCAGCGACGATGGAGAATTGCGCATGGAGATGAAAGCCAAATCCGTAAAGGCGACGCCGATTAATTTGACCAATCACGGTTACTTCAATCTCGCTGGGCACGTACGTATATTGTCCCACTCGCCGAGAAAGATAGAAAGAGTATCTTCTAATCTAACGCAATCTGTACTCTGTGTTCTGCATCAAATATTGAAAGAAGAAACAAGTTAGACAAACGCATTTACGGTTGCGCTTGTTGGAATTCACATAGAAAACCTGATAGATTTTACGACTAATAGATCGACCAGAATGACAAACTATTGTGAATAATTATATGTAATTTTTTGTAGGCTACAAATGCGGCAGAACTGTATAAACACGTGTTCATACTGAACGCTGATCGTTGGACCGTCACGGACTCCGGGAGTATTCCTACCGGCGAGATCAGGTCGGTTGAGAACAGCATAATGGATCTCAGGAAACCGACAATCCTCGGCGATGTCATCGACAAAGTACCGGGCGGCGGTTACGACTACAACTTTTGCTTGCCAGAGCCGCACGACCACAGGAAAAGGAATTTCGTCGGCAAAGTAGTGCATCCGGCCTCGGGACGTCGCTTGGAGGTGTACTCGAATCAACCGGGCGTTCAACTTTACACCACCAACTCTGTACCCGAATCCGGTATTGTGGGCAAAAACGGAGCGCGGTACTCGAGACATGCCGCTTTCTGCTTGGAAACGCAAAATTATCCTGACGCTGTGAACCATAGAAACTTTCCCAACAGCGTATTACGACCAGGCGATATATACAATCACATTGTAGTGTACAAATTTGGAGTGGAAAATTAATTTCCACCTTCTGCTACATACTTTTTGAAAAGATGAGGCAAATATTCAATAATAAGAAAATCTTGTATCGTTGAGCTTTGGCAATTATGATTGTACAAAAAGAAACTGACAAACGTCTGTAACTATATTATCAAACCTTACAATATCTGCTAACAATTTATTCAGACTTTGTAAACGTTGCAATTATTATTCTCCATATTGGAATTAGCCGTAGATTGTACACCTAGCTAGATAACGATGGCGAAAGATTCACTTCTAAAGGGTTGTGTTTCTTAGTAGCTGAAGAATCTATATTTTCCAGTAGCCTCTCCTGTCGTTGCTGCGTGATAGACTTAGTTGGCGGTGTGTAACGGTCCGATATCCATCCCTCTACATTATATCCAATGAATCCAATAACACCCACGACAGGAAACATAATATATTTCCCAAACCTGCCCATGGATCTCACTATTAAGGGCCACATGCTTTATAAGCAGGAAACTGAAATAGAAGCAAAGTCACTCTCATTCTTTTCGACAGTTTTAACGTCAATCACATACATGTTCAAAGAAGAAATCTTCAAATTTTCAACTGTAAATGTACTTACAATTTCTGTTTTTTTTTAATGAAGGATTTTTTATTGATTCCTGAACAAGACACTTTTAACCTCACTTTTGGGTTATGTAGCGCAATTTAGTTAAAATCACGTGAGCATTTTTTAAACAGTTGCCCGCGTGCCCGGCTAACTTCACATAGAGGTATTTGAAACGTGTAGGTTGGCGACATTGTGACGCTGTGCAACACTGCAAGCACAAGCTTGCCGCCTTCCGCTTTCCAGCTCGAAACGATCGGAGTACAGTTTCGCTCGTTACGATTAATTACAATTAATTTGCCTTCGACAATGACTGCGACGAACGTTGAAGACGATCCGTACGCAGATGTTGTGAGGGGCGCCCTGAAATTGAAGAACGAGAAAACAGCGAGCAAAAAGTAAGTATCCATTTCAGATATTTCTGCTCGAGTGAGGTTAGATTCGTTACTTTCGTTAAATAACTGCGCCGATCGCTATCGTAAACTTGTAGAAATTTCGCTCGCCCTCGCGACGTAATACAATTAATGTTGCTTCGAATGCACATCGCTTAGATATTTATTCCGCTCCGTTTACTTATCGCACGTGCTCGACACTCCGATTTCGAAAACTACTCCAGCATCTTTCATCAGATATTTTCCCTTTAAACCCTTTAAACGATTGCAACACAACATTATCCCTGTCTTTCATTTTCGGTAATTAAGCGAAACGTAACCCTATTGTGCGATGACAACAAATTGTTTCTGCAGGAAAAAGGACAAACATGGAAAGAAAAAGAAGCTGGTGGAAGTATCGAGGATCCCCGAAGAGGAGAAGATGGAAGTAAAGCCGACAAAGGCGGAATTGACTTTTCAACAAATGCGAGACAAAATGGTAAGCGTATACACAGTATCTGTCTACGATACATGGATTAAGCCTGGAGTAACTAGCAGAAGTAGGAATAAGGAAATAAATCAATTTTATCTCTTACTCCTACTTTAGCTCCCACGTTTACTCGCCATTTTGGTGGAAGCATCCTTACACCAAATGCTTAAGGTTATGGTTCTCTCTTACTCCTTGCGCCAAGCTTACTCATGTATTGTAGACCAGCCTTTAAACGTACATTTCGTACGTACCTATAATAACATTAACAACTTTAACCAGCAATACACGATACTATTTTTCCTACTGGATTGCTTACGAGAACCAATCAAAATTTAGCCCCAAGTCACCCGTTTGAAAACTCTGCATCCTTACTGGATCTCGTAAACAATCCAGTAGGAAAATAGTATCGTGTGCCGTTGGCCTAAGCTACAGAAATTCTTAACGTCTCACTAATTTGCAGCAAACCGAAAGAATCAAGCAAAAAGCTTCCAAGACGCATAAACAACGGGTAGAGGAGTTTAATCGACACCTGGACAGCTTGACGGAACACTTTGACATCCCTAAAGTCAGCTGGACGAAATAAACTGCGACAAATTTACTTATATATGTATATATTTCAAATATAAATAGTCTTATTGTTAGTTTAGTCTAAGAGTACGAACACTTTATATGTAGTCATGGCATTATTTTCATCCTTACTCTCAAGTGATTTTTTATATTGTTTCTTTGTACATTCTTCTGTTCTTTTTTTTAATAAAGAATAAAAAAGATTAGTCTAAATGTTTCAAGTTTTAAAAGACGAGATAATACCTGCATCCATATAACTTTGATGTAATTACTTAAGGTTAGATTAATTCTCTATTATACTCTGTAAATGTTGTATCATAAATATAAAAATTATTAATCTAAAATGTTGTAAAAATTTATTTATACATAATAAAATATCTTTAATGTCGTACATTAGTAGAATTTTTGAGTGCATTCTACCTCGTTCTTGTTATACATGATTAAAACATTTACATAAATATATCTGAATTTTTTGTATACTTAATTTGAAAATATACTTTTGTATGTCAGACGGTAGATATTTAAAATGGAAATAAACATAACAAAATAGTTACAAAAATTTTGTCTAGAATTAAAACTGTACCGTAAATGTTGAGATTCACGTGCATACGTAATGACAAGTGCGTCAAGTAAAATGCATTCATTTTATGTAAGAAATTTTTCGTAATTCGTGGACGGACCTTCGGTATATCGAGATACCTTATGCCCGTTCTACACCTAGGGATGCCTACTTGTGACTCATTCGAGTGAATAGATAAATGGACAAAGATCGTCGTATTGAGACTGTATGGACTCGGGTGCCATTTCTACATAAGAAGAGGGTTAAAAATCATATAAAAATCATATCTAACATGATAGTCGTACTAAAATGCCCGTGTAAACTTTTCCACTCGGATGAGCCACAAGTAGGATCATCCCTAGGTGTAGAACAGGTATAACATTATGCACTGTCTACTTACGAAAAATTAAAGGCTTATTTTCTATTGCTGCACTCGTGAACTAGCGCAGTAAGCTAGAATGAGAAAGAATATACTCTAACTTATTGCACTAGTTGACCAGTGCAGCAACAGAAAAGAAGCCTCAAGTGTAAATAAAGTTGAAGGCACGTAATCACACAGTTACTACATGGACGGGAACGTACGTATGTGTACGATGCTAGCACGATGCAAGCCGTTGCGAGAATGGCTCACGAGCACTAAACATATTTCTTATCTCGAATCTTTATCGCAACATCGCGAGAGAATTAATGGACGGTTTGACTTTTGTGCAAAGGATCATTTACGCGCCTTTAAAATAAAGTAAGTATTGCTACCACTGGTATTGCGACCATGAACGAAAAGTGGCTGTTTACATTGCCACCGTTACCAAAATGGAAAACTTTGACAAAGTTCTCCGTTTGACTCCAAGGATCGCTCCCGTCGTCAAAGTACATTGGACATCGATCGCGTTCTCGCTCGTATTCCTGTCAAACATACCGGTGAGTGTAGTTTGATTTAGAATTGCTTAATTTATACGCCATACGCGAAAGAACATTCCTCTCCTCACCTGTAACTCTAACGCAACTGCTGCGCCCTCCGTGTAATTTTGACTCGTCACGTCTTGTTTGAGTTCGCAAAATGGACCGATGGCCTGAGACAGGAGCACTCTATTCAAATCGGCCCTCTGATATACCCAGCAACGATACTTGCTGAAAGGATCCAATTCGTCGTACGTTATTAGGTAAGACTTTAAATTTTCCTTCCAAAATCCAATACATTTCATTACGTAATCAGGATCGCCTGTAAAAATAGTCCACCATCGTCAATAGAACTGTATAAACGTGATACACAAAATGTAAGTGGGACTCACTGTAGATGTCAACCGGTTTCCCCAAATGATCCACAGATAAGCAATACGTTTCGTCGATGGCGATCTCCTTCTGATCGGTAGTGCAGACCGAAAGATCGGAAATATTCTGTTTGCAATAAATGTTTGGTCGTGGAGACTTAGTGACGCCGCCCAGAATCCTAGTCTCAAACAGGACGTCACCTTTCTGGTGGAACATATATTTACCGGCTATCGGGCAGCGTACCGGAACGGGGTTTTTCGCTGATAAAATTAACACGTAATCAGTAATGTAAGGCAACGCAACCGACATACCGTCGTCGAAAATCAAGCTTTTTATAAGGTGTCATTACCTAAAAACAGATCATATTTCCACGCCTCCCTGTTGGAAAACTGGACCCAAGAACACACTGTATGGAAATTGTCTTTTATCACAGCCACTCCACGTCTGTATCGGATAATATTGTGATGTCGTCGCACGAAATCGAAACAAACGTAATCCTTTTGGCTGCAAATGCATTTCAATTAACGCACAAACACAAAGCGGTTGGTTTAATTATGCAAACGTACCACCCATCAACGGTCAGTCGCGCCATCATGACCCTCGAATCTCTTTGTTCGCGACAAACGTAAACCGTTCGCCGATATCGTCCCTCATCCGGATACCAGGTCTCGATGATGTGCGTCTCGTTAATGAAGATGTCCGCGTCAATGTTAGCGGTGTTTATCCAATTACCGGACATGTCCCCGGGCAATCGGCAACCAGGCTCGACTACCTCGGTTTTAACCGGCGTGATACGTAAACGTTCGGGGCTCTGTTCCACAGTATTAAGAGTATTACATTCCGCGGTGATCGAAACACCGATGTACAAGTCGTCGTCGCGATTCTTTAAGAAGCACCTGTACTTCTCATCCTTACGTGACTCCTTCGTATTTGCTACCGCAAAGAAGTGATTCTTATCGACGAACCAATCGCCCAAGCAGCTGTATTCTACCACTGGAAACAAGGTACTATCTGTATCTTTCGTCATAACATCAACACTTATTACAGAGATATTTCACAAGTTACATATTTCATCTAGAGAAACAAAAGAGTCTCATTACATCCGTCGAAGGTTTGCTCCATTCCGGGACATTTTTTGTAAGTAATGTTAAATTTTTGATTGGTTATGAGAAACTGCGTTCCCGCAGTCTGACAAGATTTTATTTGTGCATCCGGATGATTGCATTCCCCTCGAAATCTAAAGCGATTCTGTAAGAATAGTAACGATACGTTTTCAGCATATAATTTATGTAGATTAAGTACAACTATGCGAGAGTTTCTCTTGTCTCTTACTTGATAAGTAAAATGCCAAACTCCTTCCAGGGAAGATCTGCAATTCACAGGTACATAATTTTCAGCGAATAATGTTATCAAGTGCTGGTTTGCATTTAAACCTTTACAGGCGTTACCCACAGTGGGCTCTACCCCATTGGCCAAGTTTACACAAGTCACTGCAACAAAATACTACAATTGCTAGACGTAATAGTGGCTTACATATCTTTTGCGTTGATACTGCATGGCCAATTTTTTCATTATGGACATTAACAAACACAGACCAACTTGTCACTTGCCTTCGAGCTTTTCCAAGACGTTTACCGTCCTGACAAGCAGTTTCACACAATGATAACAGCTGTTGTAATCAGTAGAATCTCGAAATACAAATGTGTAATTCACATGATATTCCTCTAACATGTTTACGCATGTACCACGTCCAGTCATACTGATGGCATTTATTTCGGTCAAGGTACTTCTACCGTTTTCCCACGAGAACCAAGTATTCCTAATAACCGATGGAATTTGGCAACCACTCTGACCTGCAACTGCCAGATAATATCTCGTTGGCATCAATTCATGCAATTATATTCCGATAATGTTAAATAACATTTCATCGTAATTAAATACACAGCTCTTCTGTAAGAAATATATTCTGTAAAAATGCCCTGTAACGTTGCATCTCTCTATGAGCTATGTAGCACTACAGAGCAAGAGAACGGAAAGATGAAATGGTTAAAATGCTAAAGAGCTTCGTACGGTATATAGGGCTAAATTTCAAATGTATTGAGCAAAAGTCGTACGTGATATCGCTCAAACTTATTCAGATTCCTTTCAATATCTTCATCTATAAATGTATGCTTTCAAAATCAGATTATGTAAATATAATACGCCGAGATGTGGATATGAAATTTTGCAACTTTATTAAACGGAAAAGTATCATTTTATTTTATTAGCTCTTTTGTACTTGTATGTACAGCACAACGTTCGACTCCACTTTGCAGAAATTGAAGGAACTTACCATGCCATATGAGGCATGTTACGAAAGGGAATATGGTTAACCAGCGTTCCATCGTGCTATAGCACTTGGAAGGACGCAAATAATATAAAAAATACAACTATTGTGGCAGTGATGATACACGATAAATTTGAGGCAAATCTATACCACACACGCCCAACACTATTAAGCGTAGTTTCGAACTGCCAAGAGGGCAAGAACGGTTATGACGCAGCCCTTAAAGCGTGTTCTCATCAACGGCCGCGTTCAGCAGACACAACTGTTGCGTGAGCGCTCAGTATGGTTCGTTAATACTTTTAGATCCAGCCAATCATATTAAGAAATCATTGAGCGCTCACTCAACAGTTGTGCCCGCATGAGCTGAATATTGAAAAAGTGATTAGGAATTCAGATAGTGCCATCTCTTCGCTTACCATGTTCTCCTGATACTTTTCCAGTTTTCGCGATTCTCGATTTCAAGTTTGAAATTCTTGGAAATTCAGATAGTGCCACCTCTTTGCTGATCATGTTCTCCTGATACTTTTGCAGTTTTCGGGATTCTCGATTTTCGCGATTTGAAGTCTGAAATTCTCGGAATTT